TGAAGCCAAATATGAGATGTTGTGTGTCTTGTTGCGAAGTCCCGTCTGACAGTGTGGGAGTCCCTGTGCCCAAATCTGTTTAGGTAGGCAAGGAAGTTCCCGTGGTTGGTGAACAATTGAGTAGTCCTGAAGTTAATGCTGAAGTGTTGAAGCTGTAGCCGCTGTGGAATGTCTGGGAAGAAGCTGAAAGTTGTCCTTCCTGTCTCTTCCTCTTCCTCTTCCAAGTTGTGCTGCCATATGTTGATCATGGTGTTGCAGATGAGTTTCTTGATTGCCACCATCGGGAAGTCTTCGAAGAAAATGTCAGTAGTACTCGAGGAGACGTCTCTAGCCCGTACAAGACTGTAGGCACTATGACCTGTCCAGCGGCGGCCTTATCCATTGCGAGGCTCTGGGTGGCAGATCTTTGCGAGGCCCTGGGCGGAAGATCTTTGCGAGTCCCTTGTCCTTTGTGCAAAGTATGTGAATTGAAATAGTAGGCACTTATTAATATTAATATATACTGCACTATAAATTAAATTTATTTTATTGTTATAACTAATAGCCAAGGATAAAATAAAAAGTTTTAAATATCAACTTTATAAATATCAATTTTTCTACTTGGTTGTTGCGCGAGGCCCCTCCAAGAGCGAGGCCCCGGGCGATTGCCCTGCTCGCCACCCCCTAAGGCCGCCACTGGACCTGTCTATAGATATTTACAGGAATGTCTCTGTTGACCCCCTAGCTAATACCAGTCATGTAACTGAGGAGATTTGTCAGTTTGAGGGCCTTCCCACATACATATTCCACATGTGGATTCCACTTAAGTCCCTGATCGATAATTAAACCTAAGTACCTCATTTCTATGGTATGAGTGATCCTTGTGTTCCTAATTTTTAAGGAAGGTGGCTTGCAGAGTTGCCGGCCCTTTGACATCTGCATACAGACAGATTTCTGCATGTTGAAAAATTTATTTTTCCTGCTCCATTAGTGGATATGTGTAAGACGCTTGTTCTCCTCACCCTGGAGTTTTTCGCCATTTCTACCCGATACCATGACCAGGGTATCGTCCGCATATCCTTGTATTGCCCAAATTGCCATGATCTCATTGGGATTGATACGCAGAAGCCCATTATACATGATGTTCCACAGTCCCTGCCCTGACCAAAAGCCCTGTGCACACTCTCGGGACATCTGCGTAATGAGTTGGTCCGAGTCGTATATGCCTACCGTTCGATTACTTAGGTAGTCACTAAGAATTGCAAATAAGTTATTTGAGCAGTGTTGCTTCTTAAGTTGATGGAGTAGGGCCGGCCAACAGAGGAAGTTGAATGCATTCTTGTAATCAATTGAGATTAGTAGCACATGATGTTTTCTATTCCAGGGGTTGTTTATAAACTGTGTGGTCTTATTTAAGGCATGGTTAGTAGACCTTCTAAGAACAAAGCCAAACTGGTTGTTGTGCATGAGGTGATTTTTGTAGAGGTAGAAGTTGATGCGGTTGATAATTAGTCCATCGAGGACTTTCCCGAGTACCGGGAGGAGGCTAATTGGCCTGAAGTCCGTGGCTGTAAAGAGCTGTGACTTACTCGTTTTAGGAATAAATTTGATTTCTGCTTTCGTTTAACTCTGTGGGAACTGTGCCTGTTCTAGGCATTTATTGTATGTGAAAACGAAGGCTATGAGTACTGCCTCGAATGCCTTCTTGACCATGAGAGGGGTTACCTTGTCGATTCCCGGTGCCTTTTTGTTCCGAAGAGACTGAATCGCTGTCTGAACCTCACTGAAGGTGACCATGATGTCATTATTAAAAGCTGGGGGGTCAGGGTACTGTTTCTAATATCCTTGTGCCATTGGCTGTCATCTCCGGGATCGTCTGATGGGAAGTGGACATTCAGGAGATATTTGTGGGTTTCTAATAAATCATTTGTTGTAGTGCCATCTTTTTTTTGATGTTTACTGGGATCTTGATGGCTTTTCTTGGTTTCAGTATGATATGATATGAGTCGCTTTATGTGGTCCTGTTTCCTATTTCAGTGCAACACTTTTTTCAGGTTGTTGTATGTGCCTTGTTTATTTCAGTTTTATAAGCATTGAACTTGCTAATGTAATTCTGCTTACGTTCTTTCTTCACATTTGGGTCGCTGTCCCTTTTAAACTTATCATATAAACGACGAATTATTCATCTCTGGGTACTGAGAGAGTTGCTTCATCATGGTGCACTGTTCTGCCTTTTCTCAATCGTGCTGGTTGATCAGTGATAGGAGGCCAAAATAGACGAGGCTAGATGTGTGGCCAGTTCCTATGCCTCTGGGATGACCAATAGTGTCTGATTATTAGGGGAAACTCAATGGCTTTTGAACAGATCTTGAAAGTTCGTCCAATTAGTCAACTTAATTTTTATGACGTTGCTTTCAATTGCTGGGTCATTGGTTGTAATAGTCGTTTTAAAAACTTGAAACGATAATAAAGAAAATAACCGTTTAATCTATAAACACATTTTATCAGAGACAAAACCACTAAGGAGTATAACCGTTAGCCTTTATTACATTACAATCCATTTCGGGCGCAAAATTTGTTTTCACTTGCACCCCTCTTCAGGTAATAGATACCTACATTAAAGAAACAGATGTTACAAAAATTGTTACAAAAAAATTACAACATTCAAATGATTTACATGATAACGAACGAACCTCTTTTGTTAAAACATACAGCTCTCCAGTATATCGATATCCTAAAGGCATGGTTCTAACAGCCATTTGTCTGTTTTCGTGTTATTTTGCCCATTATGTAAGTTAATAGTGCTATGTGCACTTACAATCGCGAAATTTGCCTTGAACCTTCGTAAAAAGTTTTCTATGTGGATTATTTTTATATTATTATAATTGATCCATATTTACTNTCAGGTAATACATACCTACATTACGGAAACAAACAGATGTTACAAAATTTGTTACAAAAAAATTACAACATTTAAATGATTTACATGATAACGAACGAACCTCTTTTGTTAAAAAAATACAGCTCTCCACTATATCGATATCCTCAAGGCATGGTTCTAACAGCCTTTTGTCTGTTTTCGTGTTATTTTTTCCATACCACTTTTGCCCACACGTCATCTATCTCCATCCCATTATGTAAGTTAATAGTGCTATGTGCACTTACAATCGCGAAATGTGCCTTGAACCTTCGTAAAAACTTTTCTATGTGGATTATTTTTATATTATTATAATTGATCCATATTTACTACAATGATGATTGGTTATTTTTTGTGGCTATTTATACATATGATATGAATACTCAATTCGCTATTTAACCCTTTTAAAGGCATAACGTAAAGATGGCAGTTTTAATGTTATTTATAATTTAAGATATCCTAAATTTCAATTATCGATATTCTAATTATGATATCGATTATCAAGAAACGAGAATTAAATCATCAAATTGAAAATTAAAAATAATACGGCATTGGCGATAACTAAAAATATTGCAGATATTCTGTATAATTATGGAACGCAAACTTTCAATAAATATGTAGAGGAATTAAAAGTAATAGAAAACAATGCAAGAAGTGGAATTTCTGTTTTTGAACATGAGAGTAGTGGGCTTAGTACATTTCAACCAGAAGAACCTGAAGAACAAATTTAGTCTAATAACGAGCCCTGTTTAAATAAATCAAATAAAAACTTAAAATTCAAATCTAAAATTAAATCTAAAGGACGTCCGAAGAGAAAGACTAAGCAGACCATTTTTTACAAAAATAAATTAAAATACAGAATTAAAAACAAGTATATTTATATTACTTTATTGGTATACCAACCAATCTACTTTAAATTTCATTACCTATATTTCACTGATTTAATAATGCTTAATAGTATATTGATTACTTTATTGAAGAACATTGTAACTGAACTTTAATAAATAAAACTATAATTACACAGGTCTCCAAATAACAGTTTTTTTCCAACTGCATGGAATATTTTTGCTGAATTATGTGTTTTAAAGATCGAAGATTCTAAAATTGACTTTCGTTACATCCCATGACGTACTACTAATGGTTTACATATATCACCAGCTATATGTGTTTTAAGATGGTTTTTCAGTTGCGGTTGTCTTAAATTATCTTGTATTAGTAACAAATATATATATATTTATTTATGGTGCGATTTTTTATATTTTTATAATTTTTTTAAAAACGTTTTTTTAAATTGAAAAAATCATCTACAGACATTTTATTTTTGTAGTTTTTATTCTTTCTAAAATAATAAATGCAATACCATATTTTCATATGTGAAAAGAATTTTAAAACAAATCTACGACACAACATTTCACTCTTGTTTGTATACAAAGTCCTTCCTGGCAATACTACTGGCCACTAAATTACATATTCTTTAAATAACACTACATTATTTATTCTCACCATAAATAAATAATTTTCCATGTAAAATAAAGTTTTTTTCGTGCAATAATTATTATATGTTTTTAACATTAAATGATTTTCTCGTTTTGAAATAGTAATTTATTTCATTCTTCTTTTCTATGGTTTTTTATTTCTTTCTTCTNAAAACGATAAATAGTTTGTCAAATTTTTATTCATAAAAATGCAGTTTCAACTGCTTTTTATTTTATAAAATCCGTCTTCTTGCGCCACCAGAGGGCCTTTATAACAATAAGTAGTCTGTTAGCGCTGGTCAGTAGTTGTCCAAGTTCAATACAAACATTTGTTTCTTCAAAATTTGATTACGATTTAAATACGGTATTTATTTTTAATATTACCGATATGTCATCGAAAAGAAAACGTGTTGTATTATCATTAAAAGACACATTAAAATATTTCTTTCGATTATCCGGATTTTTCCTTATCCGGACTACCTTCCTTTCCAATTAGTCCGGATAATCGAGGTTTTACTGTATTTGTATAAAATATTTTAAATAGATTTCTACAAATCTTACTTGAGTCAATTAAGTGAGAATAATATTATAAAATGTAATTATTTTCTAAAAAATTTCGTAATAATTTCTTACTTGACAATAATATCATGCAAACGAATATCTTTGGTCTCGGGTAAAGGCAAAATGCACAAACCAGACGAAAGAGTCAATACACCTACTATAATAAAGGGAATGCTCCAGTACACCTTTTCACTCTGTGACCAATACAATAACATTATATTGTAAAGTAGTATTAATAAATTAATCAATGTTAAAGATAAGTGTGAAGTCCTACAAGATCCTTCATAAAAGGTGCAGCGATCGCTCCGATTCTTGCAAATGTAGAACACGATCCGATACCCACGTTACGAACAACAGTCGGGTACAATTCCAAAGTATATGCATATATTGTACTCATTTCAATCGATACGCAGAATGTGCACAACACTAGAAAGGCAACCCTCAGCCATATAAGATCTGTTTTAAAAAAACCGTAATATTCAGATTCGCGATGAGACCATAAATGCTAAGACGTTTAAAAACAAAATTATACACTTTTTGAATTATAATTTCATGTTGTTTATAGTAAACTAAACTAATAGCAATATTGATTTCATGTTTACCGTCTGGAACAGCTGTTATCAGCAACGAAGTGATGCCTACTGAAAGATGTCCAAACATCAAAATACGTCTTCTTTCAAAGCGAGGTAAAATAATGTTCAACACACCAGAAACACAATATTGTAGTGAAAAATATATGAGGAAAAACAGAAAAACGTTTCCTCCTGTGATATCTGCATTTAATGATAATGCATAGGTGTCAAATATTATTACTAACCTGAAAGTAATGGAAGAGATTCAGTAGTGTGTTTAATTTATTAAAATAAGTTTAAAAAAAAAGGGAATCAGTTGGTGTATGTTACTTCATTTTTGTAAAGTAAGACCGTTCTATTAATACATGTTTTAATTTACAATTGAATTTTGAGAGATATAATACAATTTATTGTTTGTTTAAATTTAAAAAATGCACAGAATTATCTCTTATAAATGAAAAATTATTTCATACAAGAAAATATCGATAACTCATGAAAAGTGCTTACCATAAGATGTACATTAGGAAAGTAATCTTGCGTAACTCTTTATTCTTGATCAAGTGCAAAAAATTCATTTTCTTTTTATTTTCATTCTGCAAGAGTAAGATCAAATATAATAGAAAAAAACCGCTTCTAGTAAAGAAGATTGTCGTATATATTAATTATATATTTATTATACAGCAGTATACTTTTCATAAGTGTGTTTATAAAAGGAATTTATTAACATAGGAAAGCCGACTGCAACAAAGATGATCTGATTTTATATACTTATTTATTCATATTATTATTATATTGTGTAAATAAGAAGAGTTAAATTTCGCATACTCCTGCAGATAAGAAGAAACGAGATAGAGTAAACAATCATTAATATGGAGAAAATGAAAAAAGAATCTTAAGATTACAAGAAATCTATCACAACTTTTAGTTTTGACAAGGAACGTACAAAAGTAATTATTTTTATAAAGAACAATAAAAATTGATTAAATAATCAGTTAGTTAGTTAGTATTTAATATAAAGAGGATCAACATAAAATATGAAACGAAAAAAAGATTGCAATGTCGCGAACTTTATAAGGCGATTAATTTGACAAAAACAGCTGTAAAAATATATTAAAGCCTCTAGATACGGTTTCCATTTATCATTTTGTACAGCAGACAGAAACATATAAGAAATGTTTATATACGTTTTATACTCCGCTTTGGCTCTTTCATCTGTGGTCATTAAAAAAAGATGTTTAATCTAATTCATCGTTGGTCGATCACAACAATAATAAAAAGACATACTGTGGGATGCAGATTTCCGACAGAGGTCATTTGTGAAAAAAATCAGGATTTTCCCATGCAGGATTTTCTATGTTACTAAGGTGTAAGCCTCTTTTTCTTTGGAAACTGGAAGCTGACCCCTTAACCTCCGCCGCCATTCGTTATATCCCATTTTCTGTTCCATTTCTAATCACAAACTGACTTTATTTTTAAAATTTAGCAGTCATTTCGTTATTTACAAATATTTTGAAAAACTCCTTATTCTATTTTTTCAAATCATCGTATTTCAATAGAAAAATCAAGCTATGTATTATTAAAATTAATTTACCGTTCTAATTTTCCAACAAAGTTCTTCAATAATTTCGGTTAAGTGCTCTGTGTGTCTTTTATTCTTTTCCATTATGTTTCGTATAACGTCTTCGGCTTTACGTAGTCGACCGTGAGTCAGCAGCCATCTCGGAGACTCCGGTATATAACTAATTCAGAACATATTTTTATAACATATAAAAACAATTAAAATATTAAATGAACATTACCTGATGAAAAGAAGCGTTATAATGGATGGCAAACTGCCGGATAATTGAATATAAGTCCAATCTTTGAGAAACCAAGATACTCCGGTAAGTAAATGCGTCCCCGTGGTACTAAATACACTCAAAAGTACCATTAACTTATCTCTGTAGCTTGGTCCGATCACTTCCATAACTATACACAAAGATAATTTAGTATTGTTAACGTCATATTTACAAAAACATTGTATATGAAATATCAACTTAAATATAAATGTTCACACGGAAATTTGCGTATGACTGGTCCATGGTAAGTGCGTATTGACTTCATGGCAATCTGCATTAAATACACGTACTTCAGTTGAATGACATGAACTTATATTATATTAAGTTCATTAAGCAAGACCCTCATAAAGTTAACTTTACATACTTGTTCGAAAATATGAGATTTCCTCGTATTGAAGCCACAGAATTTTCATATTAAGTATGCTGATAGAAGCAATTTAACTATTTTTTAATGCATCCATGTGTAGCTTATTAATAGAGTTCTCTAAATTCGAACAACTTAAAATTGTTAAAAGTAAATTTATGCATAAAACAGAATAATACAGAACTGGTAAATTAGAAAATTTGTAATTATTACGTATTAAAATACACTAAGTAGTGTACGTCACTATGATTGTGTTTTTTTTTGTTTTCGACGTAAACATTTAGGACATTTAGTCTATATTGTAGTCTATATGTGAACATTGCCAAAGTACGTTCTTATTTCATTCAGTGTATCAATTCAATTTATGACTTACCATACACATAGAACGTCAGACTAAAGGCTGTTCTTCCTGCAGACAAGAAGAAACGAGATACAGTAAACATCCAGTAGTATGGAGAAAATGAACAAAGAATCCCAAAGGTTAGATGAAGCACGAGTCCCGATATTATCACTGGTCTTCTGCCATATCTATGTAAATATTGATATAATCAATATGCATTTGAAAACTAAAACATTTTAATGAAATTAAAGACAAGTTTACAGACCTATCAGATATCTGTCCAGATACAATAGCAGACACGAGGAATCCCATGAAGAAAGAAGAGCCAGCGAGAGAACTCAACCAAGAACTTTCGCAAACTAAATTCCACTGAAAATTCAAATAAAATCAATCATCAAATATATATTTAATTAAAAACCTTTATTCTTACCTTTTGAATGACACTGTTTTTATATTGTGAATGATCGTATTCCCACGAGCGACAAGGAATCTTTGAAAAGTTCTTTCCATATTTGATATCGTCAATATCGTATACTTCACATCGACTATGCATTGTTCTCCCGTTTCTGATCTCCAGGGGTGCGCTGATATTTTTCCACTCTTCCACGGACACGTTCACGTATTTCGGTGTTCTCGCGCACCAATAATCCACCTTGTATGCCAAGAAAGGCCAATTTAAATTGTTTAATGCCGAAACAATGACAATCCACGCCATTACCCCGAATAAAATTTTCTGCCATCTTCCAAATGTACCGATGAGATCTGTAAAGTCTTGAAATTTTTCCGCCGTTTCCTATCAAAAATATTTAGCAACGAATTGCATAAGTTTTCTTACTATTATGAGCGTTTATTTAGATAATACCTTCTATAATCTTAATTACTATACAACCTAATAATATTGCGTGTGGCACCATCTGTTATGTGATTTTGTTGTAAAATGTTTTTATATTTTTAATTACTATAAAATGGCAAAAATCTTAAATTTGAGGATAGGGATAACTTTTTATTAAAAAGTATAAATGCTAATACGAATAAAATCGACTTTATGCCTGACTTTAATGGAGATATACGCTTTTTATCTCCCCACCCATCGACCAAAGTTTAATAGCATCGATGCCCTCACATACGGAATGTTATTACTAAAAATCTTTACTGCGTGTTGAGATATTCAGCGAAGTACAGCGAATACGCACACACACACAAACACAAACACCCAGAGAAACATACATAACCACAGAATTTTTTGCCGTTTTTTTCAATTTTTTTCAATTCAGGGGGTCTGAAAACGTAGAGATTTGCAGAAACTCGGAGGGTCAAATTTGACACGATTTAAAATACTTTCCCATGTTATGTCTACGTAACACCGGGGAAAGTAACACAATCTTGGTGATACGTCGTTTAGACTCATTACAATGGATATATATTAAATCTTTATAAATACACTTTAAATGTTAACATGTAAATGTAAATATAATTCTTACCTCAACTTCAGGCGAGCCGTTAGTGTTTTCTATTGTTGTATCCATGGTGTTCTTCATTAAAGTTGTATGATTTAAATATGGAACAAGATCCTACATAAAAAATAACAATAGTGTAATCGTTTTGTTTTGTCGCTACCAATCAGAAAACGAAATGATATTTAATTATCTATAATATACAACAGTTTACAAAAGAAAAAAATAAAATAAATGAAGTGTGTCAATGTGTACGAGTATGGGTGATTAACTAAAAGTTAAATGTAGTGTTGTAATAATAATTCTTTATAATTTTTATATGCAATGAATCGTGTACAGCACAGGTTATTAACAATTATTCCTGTTGCCTTTTAACCTACTTTTGCACCCTTTTCTTCATTTTCCTCATTTAGCATTATTTTTCAGCTTTTTTTAAAGCCTTTATACACAGTTACAAATAAAAGTAGTAGAAGGATAAATATAAAATAGCTGTATCATGTAGAATAATGGAAACTAGCGTGAAAATATACATTAATATGATTCGATTGTAAAAGAAAATTTAAAAAATATTTTACAATAATAAAGAAATAATTGCTACGTATAATAATTTAAATTTGTAGAAAAATTTAGCTTTGATGGAAATTAAGCTTTTTTTATCGCTGTATTGTCTCAGTCTATTTTATGCAATTTTTCAGCCGGGATGCAATTTTTAAACATATTTTAAATTTCTCTAATTTAAAATATATACACTCAATCTCGAAATAGTAATGGCTTGCCCCTGTACATCATACTTTTTTATTACCAACAGAATCCTGCCGATCGTCTATCTAATTTTGTGTAAAAATTTTACTGAAATAACCTAACTTCCCGCATGCATTGGAAGTTCGCACTTAGTTAAAAGGAGCGTTATTCACCTATGATTTCCACACCTGGTGTCATCGTTCATCAATCTAACTCAATGTTTCCCACCCTTCTTTGTGCTATGCCCCACCTAAAACTTTTTAAAATTCTTATGCTTCCCTACAGCGGCTATACAGTTAACTTAAACTCTGGACGAGTCCGTTTTCGAATTGCCCTTCTTATAAATCCAATTGCCTCTGTGTGGGTCGTGGGCCCTACGTTGGAAAACACTGATCTAACTTTATTTCTGAGATTAAGGAAGGAAAGACAAACAGCCTGACAGACGATAGTAATATTAAGATAGCACATAATATATTTTTTTAAAAATTTAGTGCACAACTCCGTTTGCCTTTTCTATCGTAAATAATTTTGAATGTGTTTATTACCATTTGAATTACAAATTATTTTAAAACTTCACTTTTAAGTATTTTAAAATATTTTTAAAAATTTTGGATAGAAGAAAATATATATTAAATTCTACTTAAAATGTAATAATTGCTGCATTACTTGCAAGATTTATATAACATTCACTGCTTCATTTCACTCGTTTCTGAATTAAGATATCGCTTTAAAATACGATAGAAAATGAATTAATGCTTAAAATATCTTAAAGAGAATTTTCTTTATAGTTTAAAATAGAGTGGAAGAAACACTATAGGAAAGAAATAACTTAAAGAAAAGAAAATATCGATATTATTATAATAAAACTGACCTTATTATGATTGAAATCGTTATAATTCTTCTTTTGATATTATAAATAAATAAACGTAGCAGAAATTAATAGAAGTATTTATAATATATTAACACCACAATATTATACTACTTACCTGCAGCTTGTTTTCTAAATATCTGATGAAAAGAAATTAGCTGGTGAAACATCATTTTTTAAAAAAATGTTATAATACAATTGTCTTTGACAAACTCATGAATAAAATATTCTATGAAGTACAATTAGTAATGTAATACTAATGAAGTACAATTAGTGATGTAATACTAACGAAATACATCTACTTATTATTAGGTTACAGCAGAGCGAAACTTTGTAATTATTGAAGACACGTATGTATCCCTTATCAGAAATATACTGTCCAAAACATGGTTCTTATTAACATAACATTAGCTTTCAGTTTTTTCTTTATGGTAAGAGGCTTAATCAATCTGTATTTATAGCATACTTGCATAAAATCTACAAAAGTATTACATATGTGTAAGTAGTATGTGCCAAATTTATTAAAAAATTGCATAGATATAAAGGAGCCCAAGTAAGGATGTAGAAAAAGTCACATGCAGCTCGCGAGCCAACTATTGGCCATTGCATGGTTATAGGATCCAATTATGTATACAAGAGATCCGTATTTGTGAAACATTTATTAGGCGAATTAAATAATTTAAAACAAAGAATAATTACTTAAACTTGAAATTTATTCTACCGATTACTTGTTTAGTTTTCCTTTATTGTTTGTCTTAAATTAACGAAATCAAACTTTTTTCATAGCAGAACGAATTGTGTTTTCTGTAGTTTCGTGTAAAACCTTTGGTAAACTTTTTATTTTGATTGAATTAATTAATATGCGATTTATCGATGTATATATTATTTTAGTGATATTCATATGTAATATATAAACATATATCAGTCCGAAGTGAGTGGCATACTTTTCCTTGCGCATGAACGTCTCCGGTCGTCGCCTGAAAAATTCAGCTTCTTCGATCTGAGAGTCGCCGAAGAGATCTTCTACTTCCGACGAAGGGTATGACCCAGAGTGACGTCAGTCGATGACCGGCAATCGATAGTGGACCGTACGATGGTCGAACAAAATTCGGTGGACGTCGCCTACGATCAGATTGCTTTGAAATAGTCCGCTTTGCTCCCGGCTTCGGAACAATCACCGTATTAGGAAAACGAGTATTGTTCGCTAGTGTCGTGCATACCAACAAAAAACGGTTCATTCTGTTGAAGTTTTATTCGTTTTCCTAATATAGTGTTTGTTCCGAAGCAGGGAGCAAAGCGGACTATTTCAAAGCAATCTGATCGTGCTGATAATATCTGGAATATATAATGAGAAAAACACTGTAAAGAAAGCGATCCATATATAAAAACTTGTGTGGAGTATAGTTTCATAGAAATAAGAGAATTCATCATGCGTCAATAAGGGATCTCGTCTTAAAAGAGGAAATCAAAATTAACTTACGTTTCTCGAGACAGAATATAAAATTGCGAAACATACGAACGAAACAAATTCTATTATAGTATAAAACACGAGTGATAATAACAATTTTTCTGTGTAATTTTTAGATAATAGTGTATACAAAGACGACACTCGATACTGGTATTACTATCAATACTGCCAATAAATGCAAATCTTGAAGGTTACGATCCATATTACTGATAAAGCAACGGATTAAAGTAATTTTAGTAAAGACGGACGAACATACTTTTGTACTTATTTCCTCTATTTTCTTTTTTAGATGTTTGGCAAATGTTTCTAACAACAAAACACTGACGTACGATAGACACTAACAAAAATTCCGTCGTATATATTGTGACGTTAATAACGATAGTCACAGCTATGTATTCGTGAAATATACAGAAAATTTCCTGCCATATCGATCCGTTATATTCGAAAAATGTAAAAGATGTACCGGTACCTATTAATAAAGATTACAGTTTTACTTTAGTTTTTCTGTAATTTATAGAAAAGTTCGTGAGCTTTTAAAAAAGGTTCGAACTTTGGACAAGTGCGGTTTTTTACATAATTCGATTTAATCCCTCATTATAGGGATTTGAAAGTCAACGAACAATTCTTTATTGTGACACTGTCACAATGCTGTGTTGCAATGTTTAATTTATTTAATTAAAAATATACGCTCTCCACCTCAAATTACTAGTGTCATGCCTTTGAACATCATACTTTTCATGTTAGTAATAGCGGCAGGTCGATGATGTACCTAACTTCTTTCAGGGATAAAATATTTGAATTGAAATAACATTATACAGTTGATTAGGGCCTACTGGCCCTAAGATTCTCACCCGTTGTCTCGTCTTTCATCTATCTAACTCTTTCTCGAGATTGAGAAAGAATAGACAGACAGTAAGACGGACAACCTTTGAGTTCTTTGCAGAGGTGATAGCATTTTGTACGTTTAGAATGAATGAAAACGAATGATACTGTTGCTGAATATTTCCTTCCTGACTGATAACGTTAATAACATATCTTCTTTATTTGTGTCTATTCGAATAATTCTGTGTGGATTAACATTACAGTAGGCCCCCTATAACGCGAGTTTCTATAACGTAGATTCCTATAACGCGGTGAAAAAATTGAGAAAACATCCGTATAAAGACGCTAAAAGGGACGCGTAAAACGCGGTAAAACGTCATCGCCTACTCGTCATCGCGGACGAGCAGCCGAACTACTTTCCGTTGTCCAGCGCCACGCTACGGAGAGTTTAGGCCAGTAAATTGAGTTTACTATCGTCTGTACAGTATTATATATTAATTATATATAAATTAGGTACTGTACATATAAATATATATTAATTATATATAAATTATGTACTGTATATATAATTATATATTAACTTAATTTATTTTAACTTTATTATAATTATATATATATTATGGAACGAAAAGCTTCTTGGCCAGCCTATATTAACAAATAAATGCTGTTGTATATTTATGANACAGCACTAATTTTATACATTTCTTGTGAAAGAAACATTTCTTATTCCACGGCCATAAAAATTATTTATATTAACGGTGTCTCCAAAGTTCAACGGAGTTTTCGCAGAAAAATAACATCAGAAATCGCGCCGCGGTTCGGTGCGCTGGTCCGCGACGATAACAAGCTTAAGCAATGGCGACGTCGAACGGTGAACACTCGGTAAGTAATCCTACAATTTTTTGTTTATAGCATACTTTATACGGATTATTCCCAAAAAATTATACGTATTTTGGAAATGTTAAGTCGAATTAGTCTAGAATCGATTAATTTTATGGAAGAAAACCTTTCAAACAGTCGTAGCCGTAAACTTCACACGTATCGGGCTGTGAAGTTTATTTAAGGATTCCTACAACGCGAAATTCGTATAACGACGAACGTATCTCCGCGTTATAGGGGTCTACTGTATTTATGTATACTTGAAATACTTTTTATATTAAATATTTTTAACCGATAACTCATATTTTGAATTATCCATATTTATGATAAGTGTTATTCGCATAAGGAAAAGAAAAACACTTGCAAACTGCCTTTACGTAATTTATACCTAAACTAACAGGTAGGCCTGGCGTTGCTGGGGCAAAAGTAACGATAACTAAGATTAAGATTATTACGTTATAGTCACAAAATGCAAGAATTTGGTTCCCTTGTTTCCAGACTAATTAGAGAATTTTTAGATAGTTCTAAAAATATGTTCGATTTCCCGAAAAAACGAAAAAAACTGCATCTGCGTCTTGCACGTCGCTTCTCTTAACAATTCCATTGCTACATAACACTTTCATTGTTACTTAAAACTTTCATTGTTGATGGAAGTGTTAAGTCTTAATCCTGTCCTTTCCCCCCCGGGGGAATTTCGAAAAATCCCTTCTTAGTGTGCGTTTTNTTGTTACTTAAAACTTTCATTGTTGATGGAAGTGTTAAGTCTTAATCCTGTCCTTTCCCCCCCGGGGGAATTTCGAAAAATCCCTTCTTAGTGTGCGTTTTTGTGACGTAACCTAACTGTATACCAAATTTCAACTTTCAACTCCTAACCGTTTGGGCTCTGCGCTTATTATTATTATTATCATTATCATTATGAACTCGTCTCGATTATATATATAGATAGGAACAGTTTCCTACATAAAGTTCTCCCAAGGAGCATCCCTTGGCACAGTGTTGTATTGCCGCATCCTATCAATCTAATAACTTGATTTTATTGTTGTTATTACTTTTTTAAATAATATTCAACTTTGCGGATGAAATCAATACAAATTATATTTCAGTATTTAGCTTCTTCTCGTACAGCTGGTATGTGTTTTTTCACCGAAAATGGATTACTATCGGAATCAGATGTTTGTACCGTTTATCCGTTTTACTTTTTGTACGAGCAATGCGTATATATCTGCTAATTTACTAATAAAAACAATTGACTAAGAACTCGAATAAAAGTCTAACTTTTTAAAATATCTTTAGAAATTTCAAATCCAGGAATTCCTCGTGTATCACGGTAGTTACCTTCTGATAAAGTGCCGTGTTATGCGAATCCGTGCTATACGAAACACTGGACTAATGCAAAATATAGGGTTAAGTTGCAAAAGTTAACAAAAGTATACTATTCTTATACATTACTAAAAGAAGTATGTTTATTAAAGCCGAAATTCGTGTTATATGCCGGATATTCCTAATTTTTAAACTGTGTTAAACCGAAACAGTATTGTAGAAGTGCCGTGTTGTACGAAGGATATCTGTACTCAAAATTATATTCCAATTGTTTCGAAATCGCCATCAGTTGTTTTTGTTTTTCTCTTGTTACAAGTACAATTTAGTTATGTTTGGAATGTAAATTAAAAATCCAGTTCTAGAAATCTGTATTTCAACCGTGATTAATTTTGTAATACGTTTTCATCGTTAATTTATTTTCTATTTTCTTATCATTTCAGTTGGAAATATTTTGTCCAGGTTTTCCAACGCTTGTTTCCAATCTTCGCAAGAACAGAGATCATTAAGTCGACAAGTACGTTCTACGTCAGTTACGCAACTTTTGTAACAAACGCCCTTAATCTCCTCTTCTGTGCAGTATCTTTCGACAGATGGATAACCCCATGACCCTGTTTCAAATATAAAATTTTAAAATACTATATTATACTGAATAATTTTTAAGAATTCAGTAAAGAACACTTACCACTGATAATAATGAAGATGACAAACAAAAATAATTTCATGTCTGCTTTACTATAACGAATAGATAATCAATCTTCAACTCGAACTACACGCAAAAAAAAACAAAGACTTTTTTACTATAGAAATTTATCATACAATACATAAGAATAGGCAATGGATTCAATGATCCGAGAAATGAAACCAAAATAAAATATTTATTCAAACTTTCTTTGTATCGCTGGGTTATTTCTTCAAAATAATTGTTATACTTATATTTACAAGCGTGCATATTATTGTGTTTTAAATATATTGTGGGCCTCAAATACGAATTCAGATGTGTCATTTACTTTGATGAATTAATGGTATAAGGCAAGAAAACAGTTGATAATTTGAAGGGACGTGTATCCCGAGAGGACATCTCCTATTTATGTGTTTGACACGTGAAGAAAATTCGGAAAATTTCACGCGATGAGCCCGAAGGGCACGAGCTAACTCGCGATGTAGGAAACATGTGTTCAGTGGCATTATTTAAAGATGCTAGCCTATCGCTCTTGACGGTTCGACAAACTACAACAATTTTATGGTGTGGCTTGTCCTAGATATATTGGGCACGCGCTCATTACTCGGCCGACTCATTATGGGCTTGGCCGAAGCTGCAAGAGCACAATTAAAAGGCCATCTTATTGTCCACGGAAATAATGGACAACGTAAGCTTTTACATTGTCTTCTATTTTTGTAAATAGTATGCACCAGCGCACAAAAGTACACAGCTTAGCAGCACACATCAGTCATTACGAAAGGTAATTCCTATTGTTTGAGATACCTCGGTTTAATGTCACGTGTACAATACAGGCTAACACAGGAGCTAAGTTGAAGTTTACCAGTACTTTTTTATTTAATTTTTTTAAATAAAGATAATTATTTGCTTTATTAAAATTTTGAGTATTTAACCATCAGAAAAAAAGAACGAACAGACGTTTATCACTTATCATAACTTTACAGTAATAATTGTAATTTTATTTTTAATAGACTATTAATTTTATAGATGATAGGTGCAAAGGTTTACCATTAGCCGAATGGATAGAACCATTGAACAATTGGTCATGGTTCGTGTCTCACTAACGGACTAACAAGCGAGTTTTCTTTATGTTTAAAACATCTAAATAGAAGCCAGTATCCAATAATAACACTTAGATAGGGGCCAGTATCTAATAGATAGTCCTCATAGGAAACACCCTCTTGCAAATCAACTACCTGTAGCTTTGTTGAATGTAAAGAAACTCCCTCTCCAATCTTTTTCATTAAACCGTTCATTGTTTATATATTTAATTTAAAAAGAAATTAAACTATGATAGATCATATACATTGCTTACACTTAAGTACAATATTTAATCAATAGAGAAAATACTTATAACTTTTACAATTTACTCAGTACCCTACCTGTTTTACTTCGTTGTGTTCAACATTACTCACTGCGCAAACAGAAATTTTATTGTTTATATAGGAAATTAGTAACGTGATAGCAAAAACAAATTAATTTAGAAAAACAGTTTCAGCGTAAACAGCTGAAATTCGAGTATCTTCTTTATGTACGAGTTTAAAAATTCCGAATCGATAACAAGAATAATTAAATTAGAAACTCCGTTAGCCAGAATAAGGAGGAACCGGTTTGTCAGGATAATCGAAATTAAAGATAATAAAATTCTCATTTAACATCATTGTATTTTCAACTATTTGACAACGTGAATTCTATAAAAAGGTTTACTCAGTGTTCTCATTTTTATCCTGCACCCAACACGTATATTTCTTTTGCTATGTTTATAAACTTATACAATATTTTCGTGACTAAATTATATTTTTTTGTAAGTAATGCATTTTGGGCATCTTTATCTTCCACTTCCCAAAATGTTATGGCATTTTGTTAATCGTTCTTAGCCAAGGCAGTAAAATTATCAATCAGGTAAATGTTTACAATGACATTTTCAAAGCAATTAATGTATTGAAATATCGCATCTTATCGCTTAAAAATACGTTTTAAATCAAATATTAATTGCCAACAACATATATTTATTAATTGCAAAACGATATCCCAAGAATTTGGAATATTTTCGTAGAATTTTTGAAAAACATTAACTTGATACCGTTGTTTGTTATATACAAAGGCAGGTAATTTGGATCATCTGGAATTTGATTACTGTAATATAATAACCGGATGTGGAACGATATTCGGTTGTTGATTCGGGTTTATTCTAAGGCTCACCAATTTCCAAGCTATTAATGAGGAAAATTTTTTAGTAATCATTCTGACTATACAAAGAGTGAAATTTAGAGTCATTAGTTCATATATTATTTAGTAATCGGCCTCAGAAATCTTAAAAACAAAGCGACTTTTTTCAAAATGAAATATAAAATTGTGTGTGAAACTGTACAGTTTTTAACCCTCACCTCCTAATCAATGTGGAAAAGGTTAATCTCCGAAGAGCCGGCCGAAGCGTTTTTGCTTCTCTGTACCAAATTTTTCGCGAAGAGCAGGTGAAATGCCTACAGGAAGGTCTTAAAAATACTTCCATGAAGGCATTTCTCCTGCTCTTCACTATTTAGGCGTAGGGACGTGGAGATAACGCTGAAAATTGATTAACCTGTGGTGCGAAGTGAATAAATGTAGGGGAACTACGTACAAAATGATATAGCCAACATAATTCGAATTTGGCGTTCTCAAGCGCGCAACTAACCACGACACCACGTTATTCGAGTGGCTTTTACTAACCTGTCAAAAAGTGAACGTCCTCCTCTCATTCGCCCGGGTGTCATGGCCGACGACAAGCATTGATACGTTACGAGTTTTTTTTTCCTTGCAACAAGTTATTTGTATAGATGGTAAGTATTTCACAATTTTATCTATTTGTGTAGCATTTATTCCGACATAAATAGTCAACGGACATAATGACATAGGTATGGCATGTAGTCCATAAGAGCTCAGTCAAGGAACTTACCTGAACGTCTTAATGTTTTATTAATTATAAAAAAAAATGGCTTCCAAAAATCTTTCATTATTGTTTAAAAGAAAACATCTTGTTTTATTTGAAAAAAAAAAACGTTTTTTTAATTTTTTCAACGCGTCGAACTTGGTTCCTAAATTGCTTTTTTCCTTTGGATAGTCATCTACACAGCAGCAAGATGATTTATTTTCGCTTCCTGTATCCAACGTTCTTCAGGTTGCTGAAACTACACAATCTCAATATCAGCTACAGAGATCCCGTGCCGTCACACCTAACGACAATAATACAGCTGAAATAGCAGCACCTACCGAACAACAAGTCGATAATTCATCTCAGGTTCCATCAGCAAACACTGAGCAAGAACTTTTTTTAACTCATTCAATTCAATATCATTCATCTACTTCTACTAAAGAACGTCCATCGTCCTCTACTCTCGTAGTGTCTATTCAGGAGATTTATCCAGTCCCAAAAGGACGTTTTATAAGTGGTCAAGGAAAACGTAAGCCAGACTCGACAAATCTCTTTAGTTTTAACTGCTACTCCAAATATGAAAGCAATTAAATCAAAAAATGAGCACAAAGCTTCGCCAGAAAAAAAAGAAGAAACATTACTAAAAAGTTACTTGAAGAAGACAGTAAAGTAGAAAATTTTCCTGATAACTCTCGAGATGATGGAAAGGACTGTCCATGCGTATATTGCGATGATCTTTTTTCCCGATCTAAGCCTAGAGAAGGCTGGTTACGGTGCTTAAATTGTTTGCGTTGGGCTCACGCTTCTTGCACTAACGTTTCTAAAAGAGCCAAGCATTTCATTTGTGAACTTTGTCAGTAATTTTATAGTTTTTACGTGTATGTCATTTCGTCCTTACGTAATGTGTCATTTTGTCCACAGTATATGGACTAAATGGATTTTGGCTGATCTCAATTCAACTAACAATATTTTTTTTCTATTATTTTTATATTATAAATGTTTATTACATTTCATAGGTAAAGAACCAAAGAAGATTACTGTAGAATATGACAGTGCTGTGATTTACCAATAAAGAGTTATGAACCTAAATTAAAACCGTATGTCATTTTGTACGTATTTACCCTACTGTCTTGTAACCTGAAGTATTATTTGTGTTCCTACCAGATTTCATTTAAATATCATTTGTCAACAAAAAGATCTTGGCAATTACGAGTTACTTTTTGATTCTGTCTCTAATAACTCGACATTAACATGAATTAAAATGAATAATAATGTAAATTTCTCTCATGTATTTAATTGTTCTACAGTATCGAAATGACACGTTATTATCGACACTATACAATAGCAATTGGTGGCAGGTTCGCTCACCAAACGAACTGTCCAAGTGAAATTTTTGGTGTGCAAATCACATAGAATATCACACGTACGAACGTACTTCTTGAATCAGAAATAATATTTATATTTAATTTTGTAAGAAATAAAACAGATACACCTACGAAATATAACCCACCAACGAAAAAGGATAATGTTTTAAAAAATAATACACATTGTGTAAGCTAATATACAATTATCGATACCACTGTATGAATTCGAATAATTCGGATCAGAATAAGGATATTTCCGTCAAAATGAAAGTATTGATTATAGTGTTCCTGCTTTGTATTTGCGGTAAGTTGTTTCTAGATTTGTTTAATAATTATATATCCTAGTAAACAGAAGATATTTATATTATATTTTTATAGATTTATGCTCAATTGTTGCAAGTCGTAAACTCCCTGAAGATACGAAAAATGTATATTATCGTCTGTGTCCAGCGGATCTAAGACGTGGCATTTGCCATACTGAGTGCGTATTTCAGAAGTGGAATATGTGTTATAGAGCCGAACCTCCTTGTCGTTGTAAATAACAATGGAAAACGGGAAATTTCCTAGCGAACATTTCTTCAAATATTTTATGAATTCTATGAAATTCATCTGTGTTTTTTCGTGGCTAATTTTTCAGAATTATAAAATAAACAAGCGTTTTAAAAATTATGTAGAAGGCTGTTATTTAAATATATAGTAAATTATAATCGTGAAATACATATAGTGTCACCACATGTTGCCGGGAAAGTTAAGCAACTCGTTGCTGGTTTTTTTTATTATATTTATCTGTGTCCTTCGTCCAACGTATTCCGATTAAAAATCCTTTTACGTGTAATTGTACAGTACGTAATTAATTAAAATTACTACAAACTTCTGATTCGTTTTCGATGGTTAATGTTGAGAACTCATTCTAGACATTATACACAGTAACGTCACTTTTGAATAATTTGAAATTAGTAGTGTGATCCAACACATACAAAGGTTTACACAATAAAACAATTACCTGAGATTATAGCGACAGTTAGGACAACACGACTTGTGAGAAGACATAGGTGAACAAAAAGAGGGGACCCTTAGACACATTGTAACAACATGTGCTAGAATAAACTTAAATAAAAATTAAATACATAATTAAGAGGTAGAATTTTTATAAAAATAATAAGGGAATACCTGTAGGATGCCCTTACATGTAAAAGGATTTTTAAATCGAAAAACGTTGGAAGAAAGACACAGATAAATATAATAAAAAATCCAGCAACGAGTTGCTTAACTTTTAAGTTAATTGCATTAAATTGTATTTTAACAAATACCTTCCTATTTGAACAAACGTTTTGCCAATAAGTTCTGATAAATGTTCTAGTAAATGAGTATATAAAATATATGAAAGCGAAAGAATTAAATCCTGCATTATCGAAATTAATAGTTACTGAAGGTTTTATACCTGATTGGAGTGATGCGAAATATGGATTACACATGCTTTAATACGAAATTTAAGAAAGATTTTATCTTAGAATAATATTTATTCAGTATTCGTTGATACAAAATGCCGTGTATCTGATTGAAACAAGTATTGTATTTCATTGTTTTCTATTTTTCCATTATAAAAGAGACAAAGACATTGTAGGGTAAATTACCAAAATTAACCTTACAATGCGTAAATAAAATTCACCTTTGTTACGCTTTGTATTCTTTTAAAACTGAGTAAGTGATTTATTATTTTGAAAAGTTCACTTTTACAGTTAAATATATAGATGATCGATGGACGAAGTACATAGATCCCTAAGATCAATGAACAATTATTTATTGTGACATGATCACAATGCCCTGCTGCAATTTTTAATAGTGTTTTTAATTTATTTAAGTTAAAACATATGCTCTCCACCTCAAATTAGTAGTGGCTTGCCCTTGCATCATACTTTTCCTTTAATAATAGTGTGGTGCCGGTCATCTATCTTACACCCCCATGGAAAAATATTTTAATCGAAATAACGTGACTTCCGGTTTGCAGCAGAAGTTCATATATCGGTAGTTAATCAACTTTTCTTATTGAAAAAGAGACTGTAAAACTTTAAACTCCACAATTATTAATAAATTTTCAATGTATTACATTTCATAACTCTGGTTTCAGAGTCAATCCAAATAGTTTAGTATCAGCGATTTATATAAATAGCGTGTTTGTAGACGGGTTCTTATTTTGTTGCAAGTTGTCTAATTAACATGGAGAAAATAAACATCCTGCTGTTCATCTGTCTGATTTACTTCACTGGTAAGTTTGTATGATGTTAATGTTCGATTTACGTAAAACAGTAGTTCGAATCTGACATGCCTCATTCGTAGAATTTCCTTTCGTAACGGGTCAACCGTATTGTATTCCTACTGATGTTAATGGAGTTTGCCGTATTTATTGCGTAACATACAGAAGAGATTTGTGTATAAAAATTCCACCCTGCGTCTGTCCGAGTCTTCCTACCAATGAAGAATTACAGAAGGGAACACTGTAAATGAACTCTGAAAATCCTCGCTTTATCAATTTCTTGTTCGCATTCGTCTTCCAATTGTTGTACTTTTTCTGTTTTAATTTAAGATTTACTTTTATGTTCTACTTCTGTTATCCCGTGTAAATACTATAACTGTATATTCCTTACCGTTAGGCATGCTCGTGTGCAACAATTATTATTAAATAAATAAATGAAATTTCCTATTCAAAGTTGTAAAGTTATTTCTCATTAACACGAAACTATTTAATTGCATTAAATTGTTTTTTAACAAATACCTTCCTATTTGAACAAAGGTTTTGCCAATAAGTTCTGATAAATGTTCTAGTAAAAGAGTATATAAAAGATATAAAAGCGAAAGGATTAAATCCTGCGTTTTCGAGATTAATAGTTACTGAAAGTTTTATACCTGATTGGAACGATGTGAAATATAGATTCCACATGCTTTAATACGAAATTTTAACAAGATTTTACCTTAGAATAATATTTATTCAGTATTAATCGATACAAAATGCCGATTGCAACAAGTATTTTTTCTTCATTGCTTTCTATTTTTCCATTATAAACGAGTTTTGGGAGGACAAAGACAAGGCGGATCTACTTTCCTGCAAATCCGTAAGCTAGTCAGTAAGCAATACGGTCTACAAATTCCATTTATTTCTTTTTCCGTACACTCTCTATAACCATTGATAACGATCGGAATAACTGCAAAACAAATCAATCTAGTTCGATTAGATATTCATTTACGTAATTAGAATAATTAGTGACACTCACCTGTAATATAGAGCAAGTAGACCAACAGCAAAACCTTTATCTTTTCCATTTTATGACTCTACCTAAACAACTGACGATGTCCACTAAAATTTTTACCTGTTCTTTTATACTTTTTTCCGAATAAAAAAAAATTCAAATTATTTAATAAACGAAATAGTTTATTATTTGCATATAATTACAATCTTGCAAAACATTTCAAAGAATAATTACTAAAGTAATTAAATTTCAGGAAATTAATTGATACCATCGAAACAATTTGATTTGAAATAATGCAATTATGCTCTAAATTAAGGATCTCGGATGGGTTTTCTTGGCTCTTTTCTCCTGTCGACACTACTGTTTCTTTTTACTCCTAATTATTGCCGGTTCGTAAGATAATTAGGAGTAAACTCGATAGTTTCTCTGTTGGTGGAACGTTACTCCCAGGCAACTTTCTTTAAAGCCGACGAAGTCGGGTTCGAGGGAAGAGAATCTTTCATCTCTTGTAAGAAAGCTACGGAAGATGGTAAAGTGAAAAAAAGCTATAGACGGTAAACACCTGGTTACACAAAGAGAAGTGTTAAGAGGCACAAAGACACTTAAACCACGCCTAAGACTGCAGCCAAGAAAGTTACTAACAACTTCCGAAGATTTAATCACTCTATTATCAAAAGTAGTTTAGTATTGTTTCGACACAACGAAGCGTTTTGTCGACAGAAAGAGCGATGCTACACAGTTAAATACTTTGTTTGAATTTCAATACGAGAAATTATTGCTCTTTTTAAAGTTTTCAAATTTATAAATAAACATAAAACATTGAAATTAATTTTCACACGAAATATGAACAAGTTCTTTCCCATTTTTTGATTATTGGAAAAGTCCGATCAGTTTATTAGGTACAGTACTTTTTCTGTTGCAATGTAATCTAGGTAACCTCTCAAAGGTAAATCAACTGTTTTCTGTGTACTATTTTTATCAACACCTGTTCCCACAAGTTGACAAAAACAGTTCGTGGCATTTAAATTAAACATTGGTTCTAACTTACTAAACGTTACATGGACGTTAGTATTAGTTTAGTGTTTTAAACCAGTACTAGAAGTTGTTATGTTGCTGTATAGATTATTTATTAACATATTGTTATATATTATTCAAAAAGCCTATTCAGAATAATTTAATCCCATTTTACCACCCAGTTGCTCCGTTGTGGGCCTGACCGAACTCACGATGTGTATGGGGAAAACTCTCTTAGGCCTTACAGGACGAAAACAAAGAAGTAAAGAAACATGGAGAAAAATATTCATTCCATTTATTTTTATTTAAGAATTCAGGTAATAGTAGTTCATTTAGCGCACGTTTGAAATGTCACGAAAAAGTATTGTCGCAAACAACAATAATTTGGCAATTACAGTTAAAAAGATGTTGGCAATACAGATGGGAATTTTAATTAATTAATTGTATTTGCTAAAGATGTGAAATTTCGATGTATAATCTTAAATAAAATATTTCAGAATAATATTTGGATAAACTTCTTCGAAAGATCGTATTCATTTTATACGCGAAAGTAGACTACTTATATTACATTTTATTAAAATAAATCCTATAAATTAAAAATTATAGAACTTTATTAAATAAGAAACACTATCCCACTTGCGTCGACGTCACCGTTTTCTATATAAACTTTCAACACTTCGAGAGAATGAGAATAGTTTGAAAGAATGAAGGTCATCTTTCGATTTTCCTGCTCTGTGTCAGCGGTAAGTTAATTCTTCTTTTGTATTGTATTGGTACGCGTAAATAAACAGAGAAAACAGTAGTCTATTTTATATTTTAGCATTCTGCACGATAGTGTCGAGTCGCAGGATGTATTACGAATCTGCTTACAATATTCCACTACCGAAACGATGCACACCCATGGAGGCAAGATATTTTTGCTACAAGGAATGCATCAAGCAGAGAAATAAAACGTGTGACAAAGATGGAATCATCTGTAGATGTTAATAGCAAAATATTACGATTGACCAAATTTCGTCGTAAAGTTGCTTTTAAATGGTTACTATTCTACATGGGTGCTTTTATCAATCAATAAATATAACTGATCGCTAAACTAAATGTAAAAACAGAAACGGAAGAATAAAATGATTTCTTACAGATATGAGTTTATTGGGTTAAACCTCGCGATTGTTCGTAGCTAATTGAAATCAAAGAATCCTCTCGTTGACGAGTTGTCTGCCCTTTCACGAACGTTAGGGGGAGACCGGGGCAAGATCGGCATGTTAAGCTTTACTTAAATTTTGTGTAATAAATACTGCTGTAAACTGAAAAAAAAGCTTTGCATATTGTCTATTGGAATGTTACCTTACTATAGAACTGGTTAAAATCAGTTTGGAAATAAAAATAATTAAAATAATTACAACTTTACAAGAAGAGAGAAATTGACGAAGTTGCCCCGGGTATAGGGGCAAGATCGGCAACTTCTCTCTTTTTGTAAAGTTGTAATTATTTTAATTATTTTTATTAAAGTTGCCCCTGGTATAGGGGCAACAGTAATGGGGCAAGATAGGCACGTATATAAAATTATGTTATTAACAATGTATAAGTTGGAATTCACTATTAAAACAAAGAAATACAAATCCAACACCCATTTAATATTATTACAACGAAATGCAAGTTCAAAGACATATATACATGAATAACAAATGCAAACATGTTTTCATTTATCATCTGTTTGATTTTTATCCTTTGCTTCTAATGTGGCTTTATGTTGCCGATCTTACCCCGCTAGTCATGATTTCGAAACATTAAGTACAACCCTGAGAACAGAATGCCAAGCCACGATCTGGCCACGTGAATAAGTTGAAGTTACATCCTTCTAACAGGAAAAGTAACTTTCGTTATCATGGAATTATAACAAAACCTGCCAATTCAATATAAATGGAAAAAAAATATTATATGGAATTGAACGAAAATGAAAATTTGCTTGATAATTCAACTACGCTTGTTGGAGAACAATAAAAACACTACACTCAACAAGCCACCAATAAAACTCAACTGCCTAACCTATAACCAAAGTCTCCTTTTAATTTGTTTTTTAAAAAAAGCGCTTGACAAACTTGCCCCGCATGCCGAAGTTGCCCCGGTCTCCCCTATATCCATTATTTGAAAATTTACTTCTGCATATTTCTCGTCTGAGTTTCGAAAGACTCGTATATTATTATGTAAAATTATAAGGTTCTACCTGAAAAAGAGTAGATTTGGATTGAAATGAAATTCTATTGTTTCGTCTCGGTTATGATGTCTATTATTGAAATATTTAAATGTTCTTCAATTTAAAGTCGACTGACAAACACCTCCTTGGACATTGTGGATTATCGTCCATACAACAACGTGGATCTTGATCTTTAACTCTGTTTCATCACTTAACCTACTAGGTGTGATAAGTCTGTTTAAATAGCATTTAGAATTACGTAAATGAACCAAAATACTCATCAAATATACTTAATTCATTATTTAATGAATTTAAATACTCCTTCTACTCGTAAACTTTAACTGTACTTTAATGACAATAATGATAATTGAAACAGATATGTATTGTTTGAAAAACTCCTCCTAAAGCTAAAACTGATCGTTTGTTATATCCAATTCGCATGCTTATTCGTGTGGAATTTTGCCCTGTTAAGTAGATACAAAAGAAAGATGCGATACCTTTATTGTAAATCTACAAAATTAATTCATCTAGAAAATTCAATGGATGATAATACATTTAAACAGATTAGTATTGTGAATAGAAACAAACGCAGGGAGGATTTACTTCATCACAAATACACAGTTCGTATTTTACACACGAAGTAAAGCACTGTTTTAGTAACTGGGAATAATTGCATAGGGTAAACACAGGACCTGAATCTGTCTTATTCGACAGGCCGAAATCCGACATAGGAAATGAAATCATAGCGTATAATTCTAGAATAAAGGATAAACTACATTTTATCTAATTAATTAATTCATTCATTAAAGAAATACAGAATTTACAGTACTTACCACCAACAGAAATCAGAATAATTAAAAGTAGCACCTTCATTGTTCTAAAGTAAGCTGATTTTTAGAAGATATTGTGCTATATATATAAAACTTGTTTATTATTTAATTAAACCACGTTGCATAAAATCGATTTTAAAATATTTAACTTGATGAATATCATTTTTTTATTTTGAAAATTCACTCGTATTTATTAGGATGAAATCTAAAAAACAAGAAATTGCTGTAACTTAAATAGTGACGATGAAAAAGTTCAATTTTAGTAAACAATTAAATACACTTTTCAATTTNATAAAGGATAAACTACATTTTATCTAATTAATTAATTCATTCATTAAAGAAATACAGAATTTACAGTACTTACCACCAACAGAAATCAGAATAATTAAAAGTAGCACCTTCATTGTTCTAAAGTAAGCTGATTTTTAGAAGATATTGTGCTATATATATAAAACTTGTTTATTATTTAATTAAACCACGTTGCATAAAATCGATTTTAAAATATTTAACTTGATGAATATCATTTTTTTATTTTGAAAATTCACTCGTATTTATTAGGATGAAATCTAAAAAACAAGAAATTGCTGTAACTTAAATAGTGACGATGAAAAAGTTCAATTTTAGTAAACAATTAAATACACTTTTCAATTTTTTATTATTTTATTAGGGAATTTATTATCTATATTTTATTCTGGTGATTAATCTGAAGAGTTTAACGTAGCCTTGATCGAAATGTTTCTCATTATATACAGACTTTATTTAATTTTAAGGTTGTCTAAATACAATGAATTGGACTCGACCCCGGACTTGAGGATATGATTATATCCTTTTCTCGGAGTCACGTCCTGTGCAAGGTGACACATCGAATAAGTTCACCAGGATCCTAACGATAAAAAGTTTTCTATTAGACAGAAAACTTAACATAACCAAAGATGAACATGAGAACTAAAGGAGAGGAACCCCCAATAAAGGAGAAAGATTGATGACACAGAGAGTTCGTCATCATCTGAAGTTCGTATGTCATCGGGAGTTGGTCCGTCGTCCCCAGTTCGACGTCTTCTAAAATTCGTTGCTTACCTTTACGCTCCAGAGAATTCGGACAAACCACCTACCCTGCAGTGTTGCCGCAATGAAATTTCAAAACGTACTGATGCGCCTTCAAAAAATGTACTATTTTCCTTCAAAATGTACTAGTTCTATGAATACTTTCTTTCTTTCTTTCTTTCTTTCCTTCTCTGATATGGAGATTCTGGCTGGTCACCTTTTCTCCGATGAACTCTTGTCCGCAATTTGTCAAATCGATGTGTGCGTACTACATAACATTCGAGGACCTGCACGTGCTGTCTAAGTGAGAGGTCTGTTCTTGCCCAATATATGGGTGTTAAAGTCTGGATGATTGTGAGATCGATCTTCAGAGTACAAGAGAGTTCTTGTCGGGCTTCCGTATATCTTGGGCACGTAGACCAAAAATGTCTGGATGTCTCCTGAGCACCACAATGTGGACAGTCTGGTGAAGCACGTAGGTTTCTACAACAGAGAAACCCGTTAAGAGGGCAGTATCAGTTCTTAGGCGAGTCAAAAGGGTCTCCGTATTCCGAGAAGTAGCGTGCCTGTAAGGCCAGGGGACGAAAGGTCTGAGGTGGTCTCGACCTTTATTACGCAAGTGTTCTGACCACGATTCTTTGTTCACGTGCCTATATATATATATATAGGCACGTAATATATATAGTTTATTGTCAAATAATTTAATTTAAAATTTTATTTTTGGAACTTTTTGAAAGCTATTTATAAATATCTACACATCTGTTATTTATTATAAAATGAGCATTACATTGACAACATTTATTAATAATACTATTGAATTTCATCTTAATTTTATAACCAATCGTGCTTTAAAAAAATAATTATAAATTTGTTATATTATATTATTTTATTCTTTATTATAATTTAAATTTTCTTGATGTTATTGCATCACTTCACAAAGTGGTATATACGTAATTGCATCAGTTTTAGTACTTATTTAATTAATTTCAATCATGACAGCAAAAGATAAGGATGCTTGTTTCTTTTAAACTATTTGATGAAAACGTTACATAAAATTGGGGTTGCATAATCATCCGAAATTATTATTATATTTTTGACTGGAAATTACAGGATTTATGCAATTTTAGTTTAATTAATGTCATATAAAACTGACTGCTCGTACAAGTTTGCTTAAAACATGCAACTCAAAAAACCCCAAAATGGCAGCTCAAGAAGTAGATCACGCGTGTCCTGACCTTCTTATATAGACCTTGGAACAGTCGGAAGCGCGGCCATTTTGGAACCATACGTAACATTAACCCTTATTTCTTTTACTACGATTACTAAAATTGAAGTTCATAATTTAAGAATTAAATTATAGTGGTAGAAAATAATATAAAAGTATTTATATTATTTATACTCGTACAATTTCAAAACTATTTTCTGTAATAATTTGTTTCTGACTTAACGGATATTTTGATATTATTGACGACAAAAGTTTAAAATCATTGATTTCCTTACCTGTCCATTATTTTTGTTTGACGGAGTTGAATTGTTTGGACCACGTGGCATGAAAAATTTTGTCAAGGTCCTGATGAGAATGTGCAGACAACTGAACGTGTGAAAGAAGACCACTGAGTCAAGACCGTTTACACGTGCAACTATCTATGTTGCTGACGTCGACGGACACACACCATTTGTATGTTGTGATTGGATAATTTAAATTAGCAAGCAGTGACACTAGTGAGACTTTATTAAACTAATTTTTCTCATTTTTTCGTTAAGGCGTGAAATATTATTTTGTACCGTAAATGGTACTTGAAATATTATAATGTACTAAAAATGTACTAAAAATCTAAATGTACTTTCAATTTACTGGAAAGGGCAAAATGTACCAGAAAAGTACAAATGTACTAGGAACGGCAACACTGCTACCCTGCCGATCACCGCATAGATCGACCACCTTTGACTCACCCATATACTTTGAATAATTACTATTAAATTATTACTATTTACTTCATTACTGATTTTCTTTATCGTTATTTATTATTAGTTAAAACTATATGTAAAATTTCATTTCCTACTGTATATATTAAACTATAAATATAATACTTTCGTAATAATAATAAAAAAAATTGTCTATTGTGATTAAAAACTTACCGTTATAATTATCAGTACAGACAAATTAATTATTATTGTAAGAGAAACAATTGTAAGAATCTGGAGGGATAAGATTTTCTTAAATTTGGAAGACTTCTTCCAGTTTTATTTAATTATTTGTGAAAATACAATAGATTGTTTAAGAGAAACAAATCATACAAATTGTCATTCTCGTGTGATAGTGAAAGAGAAATAACATTCTCTTTCAGTCCAGTAGAGCGATGTTATCTCACACGTTAATGAGACAGTTGCCCTTGTGACGCAGCTTAGGCATATTGTCACAAGGGAAAGACTTACAGACTTATCCCTCCCCCCAATTGGAGGGGTTTAGAAGATAAAAAGGGCAGAAATCCCAGTCTCAGGGCTAACTGTCCCCTCAAAGCTCGTGGGTCAGCCTTCTGTCTGTCAACACGCATGTGTCTCCTCTGGAAGCAACCTCTAAGGAAGATCCTCGATCGTTACTTTGACTGAATCCGAAGACATCCGACTGTCGACAAGAAATATTATGTACTCAATATTGCAAATTCTCTTTCTCTCTTGCCATGTATTTAGTTAGTTTATCGAAATAGATATATTTTAATTACCTCTGTATTTAATCACTATCTTTTGTTATTTCATTAAACTTTTATTTGTTAATTGGCTTCCATTTGAATGTATTTTGTTGTCTGTTCCCTATCGACAAGTCCGCGACCCTTCCGCCACTCTAAACGACAGTACAACCCTTCCTATTTTAACAATCTTTAAAAATAGAAATTGAAAATCCCGAGTTATGACGCGTTACTTCTTAACTGATGTCACGAAAAACATTGAGATAAGATTTTCTGATCTGTTAAACTACGAGTAAAAGCCATTCAGTGACAAAGTGAGCGGTCTAACCTTCCCGTCTTAGTAATCAACTCGAACACAATAACAAAATTGTTACTGTATCTATAAATATAAATCAAATGCTATAATATAATGTAGTAGAAAGATTAAAACTACGAAATAATCTAATAATCTCAATCTTAGCTGCTGTTATTTTATGTCCGAAACACCCGGCTCATCTGCTAGTTCTTAAATAAATTCGTGAATAAAATGTTATTGTATCTTAATTTCTCTTCCGTTTAAAGCGACATAATCCCTAAAATCCAAAAGAATACTGAACGTTAGTCTGTAAGCCCACATCTAAAATAGCCAATATTCCCAAGATGAGTTAGGTAAACATTCAGGTTCGTGCATAAACTTTTATTTATTACTTATTCTTGCTTTTAATTAGTTTTAACAATATTATAATTTCATAAGTTTTAAATTCTCTCTAACTTTAAATATTCTTACACAATAAAGAATTAAATCTTATTTTAAAAAGGAAAAAAAAATTATAAAATTTTATTGTAAGGTTTTAACAGTCATATCCGGTATTATGTAAACTCTGTGTTGCGGTGTGTCTTATAATGTGTTTAACTTTCATGTAAATGAAGCCATAAAACGGCATCAGTTTTGAGTTTTGTATCCTTTGTATAAAAGAATACAAATGTTGTTGGATAATATTTTGAAATATTGACACAATAAAAGTAGTCTAATCCGGTACCCGATAATCCACAATGTCCGAGGAGTGGTTTGTCAGTCGACTTTAAATTGAAGAACATTTAAATATTTCAATAATAGACATCAGTACCGAGATAAAACAATAGAATTTCATTTCAATTCAAATCGACTCCGATTTGAATTAGCTACAAACAGTCGCGAGGTGTAATCCGATACAAATTCACTTCGGTAAGAAATCAGTTTATGTTTCATTTCTGTTTTTCTATTTAGTTTAGCGATCAGTAACATTTATTGATTGATCAAATAACACACGTAGAATAATAACCGTTTAAAAGCAACTTTACGACGAAATTTAAACGATCGTCATATTTTATTATTTACATTTACAACCCTTTCGAAATGCGTAACATAT